GTGTTTAGGGATGGTCATGGGAGGGTGCAGTTAGATAAAGGGTGTAGTTATTATTATTAGTATTAGTAGACAGCATAATATAGTATAGACGTTAGGTCGAAGTAGGAAATTGATTGTTTAAATAAATAACAGTATATCTTGAATTGGACTTGTGTGTGGTGATTTCACAAATCTATAACCAATCGGGTTTCATCTCTTTCACCCCTACCCTTACAACAGGTGGGTGGTCAACTCATCTTAATCACCCCCACCCTCACAATGTCCAATCCGACATCTTTACACTTTAACCAATTTTTTAAATATGGCTACAACTCACAATTCAGTTGCTCTTCCTCTGCTCTACAACTTAAAAGCTAACTCTCTATTTGCCCTCTATTGTACACAGTACACAAGTTCGTACAGCCTTCCTCAGCGCTAAACCAACCAGATCTATTTCTATGTCAACACTGACTCCAGCATGACTCTTTCATATTTACTTAATACTGGTTAAGAATACAGGCCTAGTAAATTTTAAAAATCTTTAACATTTCTTAAAGCTATTTTTCGGTTTTAGATTCTTTTCTTTGCAAACATAAAAAGTTTTATTCTATATTCTGCAGCTGAAATGAATAGTTTATATCCTTTACTTTGACATCATTTGTTCGTATTTTTTTTTAACGAAGACTGTGTCCTACAGTAAGGATTGTTTAACTGTGTAAGTGGTTTGAGCAGTCCGATTTAATACCATATTCGAATTCCATTACCATATGAAGATACTGTAAACGTGGGCAAGCATTATACAATTATTCATCTAGACAACACAGGTGACGACTAATCAACAAGATGAAATATGGTATCCTCTTCTTATATTTGTTTCGTACTGGATTCACATAAACCCATTTTCCAAGACGAAGAAAATCAGACTAACTCACATACAATACACAGCAACCAGTCTTTACATAAAAACGCCACTGTCACACTATACGCGTCATCATTCCATGAGTTCAACATACCTTTCGCACCAACATTCACTCTCTGCAATCTATACTTGGAACATGCATCATACAAGGAAAAACTTGCATTTTCTAATTTAATTATGTTCTATTAAAATGACATCCTAAAAATCGTAAAAGTAGAATACATATTATTAGTTCTTGCAATATGGAAAATTATTTATGTCAAATGTTAAGGGTTTGGGAAAGTTTCGTTACGTTTTCTATTATGAAAAGTTTTAACAGCAGTCTTTACATAAATTGTTTGTCTTTTTGAAGGTAATATAAAGAAATCGCCAATTTTAAAATTAACATACCATCGTGACGACGCAAACCTTGTTATCACATTTGATGGTATCATGCATATGATGGTTATAACCTATGTCTAGCAAATAATAACTCTCGCATAATATGTCCATGGTTACTCTGTCCTGCTTCTTCTATTGTGTAGGCATTCGTAAAAGTGTTGTTGTAGTAACGCTATGAACGAAAAAATGTCTGTGATAACTTGCCTGAATAGTAAAAAAATAAATAAATATAATTCGCTCAGCTAAGCATAACAAAATAAGCATAATAAGAGTAATCATTTTGTTTGAAGAACTTCTCTATGTCATAATAGTCATTATGTCACTTAGTTAGATGGTATCAAAAATTGGACTCCGCTAATTTTAAAAACGAACAATTCCTTTTTATCAAATGTGTTGTTTTCTATCAATTTTTGTGCTATTTCTAGGAACTGGAAGTCGTACTCCTCTTCTTTCGGTTTCTCAAAAGTCGATAAGTTGAGTACGGTTTAATTTTGATATACAAAATTTTACAAATATGTATTACATATAGTTTACATATAAGTAAACGAAATTTTATATCTATAGTATAAAGCTCAATTCAGTAATTGGCGGACATATTTTAAATACCTCCTTTTATTTATTTTTTTTACACTGCACGTACTGTTTACTAAATATTTTTTGTAATCAATAACAGTTTAGAAGCCGCTCCTAATTGTCCTCTATGTTTACTTCTAACTTTCCGTTTGCGGATAAGCTTTGGTTATTATAGTCGTTTACTAAATTGAATCAGGTGCGTCCGCCGGCGCCCCGGCATGGTGCTATTTGGTGCCCCCGGCCTTCCCGTGTTTGCTTTGGCGACTACGTTCGCATAAGTGAGTGCAAAAACTATGAATAAGTTGGGGTAATATAGTCGTTTACTAAGTTGAATCAGGCGGTTTGGCCGGCACCCCAGCATGGTGCAATTTTTTGCCCCGAGCTAGACTGTGAGCACTTTGCGTTTTTGTTCGCATTAAAATGTGTGTTTATGTTTGCGTTGATTTGCATTATTTTGAGTTATTGTTACCGTTAAGTTTGCGTTTGTGTTTCTATTTGTATTACGTTTGTGTTTGCTTTTTTGTTTGCTTTTGTGTTTTCTTTCTGTTTGGGTTAGTGTTTGCTTTTACATTTGGGTTTGTTTTCCTTTACTTTTTTGTTTGCTTTTACATTTGGGTTTGTTTTCCTTTACTTTTTTGTTTGCGTATGTGTTTGTGTTTTCTTTGTGTTTGGGTTTGCGTTTGTGGTTGGGTTTATGTTTTGTTTCGTTTGTGTTATTTGTGTTTGTGTGTGTGTGTGTGTTGGTTTTGGCTGGTTGTATTTAGGCTAAATTCGAAAAGTAATGTATTTCCTAAACCCGGGCAATGCCGGGTATAAGCTGATTGCTAAACACACACGCCATGATCCTTTACAGATAAGTTTTTTTACAGAGGCCAGTGCAGGGCCTGGCCGGGACGGCTAGTATTAGTTTTGCTGTTTGATATCCAAAAATGCTACTTTATTACACTTTCAGTTTCTAAAATACCTATATCATGAGTATGGTTTCCCTTGGGTTGACAAAATTTTCATAGGTATAATATCTTAGTCATTATTTTCTGTCTAATGTTGAGTGATAATCGGTGACCGGGAGTTGTACTTTAATTTTCCGATTTCGAAAAACAAAAACACCAGAATTCGATTATTTTACATTAGACTTTTTAACAAAATACTTTTTTCTTCTATATGTTTTCTTAAAATACGAGAGTTTTGTTACAGACTTTTATATTTCTATAGCCGAACTTCACTATGAATGCCATCCAAACCCTTACTGTTATATAAGAATACGAGCCGACCCGCTGCGTATCATACGCCGCTATTTAGTTGTTTTTTTTTTCTACTTTTCAGTAATTTATAATTTGTGAATTCGACAGTACCAATGCTGCCACTGAAAATATTTGCTTAAAGACACTAAACCCCCCTTCCCCCCCCCCCCCCCCCTCCCCCCACCAGAAAGCAGCCTCCTCTTAGTTACCTCCTCTAAGTTTAAAATCGTTTCAAACTAAATTATCTGCCCCTAATAGCCGTCACCAAACCCGGCTCTACGATTGTTTTGTAAACATTTAGCGTGAACTACAACTCACCTGACCATGTGAGGGGGTGGGGTGGGGTGGGGGGTGGTAGCGATAGAGAGGAAGAGATGGGACTGCAAGGCGCGCGCTTGCAGCTTGTTTTCTAACGTCTCCAAGAAGAGAATTTTATATATATAGATACGAGAATGTTTAGGGGAGATCACTACCGCTTTATTAAACTATGAAATGCAGAAGTGTGTACTGGGTAGAAATAAAAAGTATTCGGCACAGCTAAAAGGTCATCCATAAATGACGTCATACTCGTAGGGGGGATGTGGGGAAGGGGGGGGGTCAGATGTTGCGACGTCACATTTTTGCATTATAAAAAAGCAATGCTAGAAAACGAATTTTAGACGTTATTTTGCGTTTTAGATAACTGTTTTAATAAATGGTAATGGTTTAGACAAGATTTTAGAAAAATATCGATGTTTAAAAATAAATTCAATTGCAATTTTGAGGGGGGGGGGGGTTGTAGTTTGAGGTGTGACGTCATTTTAGGGGGGGGGGGGGGTCTGGCTTTTTGTGACGACGTGTGACGGAGGGGAGGGGGGGGGGGTAAAAATCATCCAAAAAAGCGTGACGTCATTTATGGATGACCCCTTAGTTATACTGAGATTAAAGAATGTAAATAAATAGTACACACAATTCTGTAGAATAGGAACGATTGGGAGGGAAGTGACATTTAGCGCAGGAAATTTAGAGGTTAGGTAGGGTATACTAAATGGTGGGGTTAGGAAAGTTAAGGGGTCCATTCTCTAATAGGCAGTCTATGTCTCTTTCGTACTTTCGTGTTGGTTTATTGTCGAACCTGTCCTCACCTCACATCACAACAGTTGGGTGACGCTTACCGAGGGGTCTGGCTTTTTGTGACGACGTGTGACGGAGGGGAGGGGGGAGGTAAAAATCGTCAAAAAAAGCGTGACGTCATTTATGGATGACCCCAAAGATTAGTTAGTCAGGTTCTTTTACCAACGTCTGTATTCCCACTTCGCCTCCATTCCTCGTGTAAGCATACATGACACTCTGTATGGATGACTTGGCAACAGACAAACATTCTAATTTCTAAACCTGTTTTGCCAGTATTCTAGCCCGTTTATAAATGTTATTTTTATCTAACAGAAAACTCTGGGAATTCACTAATGTATTTAAAACTTACTAGCGATTTGTCAAAAAAATTCTAAAATTGTCCTATGATATTCCCGAAAAACTGAGTCAGGTAAAACTACAGTGCATATTAACTTCAAGTAACGTCTACATTTTTAAAACTGATGGGACCTGAGTTAAATAAAGTCTAGTATGGTACCATCGGCTCGTTTTTAACTCTCAACGATATTTACATAGACTCCACTAGGTCCTACAATTTCCCATCAGTTTTTTTCGGGTGGAGGGATAAGTTTATGTTAAATATATATATATGTATATATATATATATATATATATATATATATATATATATATATATATATATATATATATATATATATATATATATATATATATATATATATATATATATATATATATATATATATATATCGATGACTCAGTTAAACTGCTAACTTTAAAGCCACTCTCGACAAAATATTTCGTCATTAAAGCCCATGACAAAAGGTGTTAGTGTTGGGGTTGTCCAAGAAGGCCCACCGTTTCCAACCAGGGCCTATCAGAGATTGGTGGACAAGGGGGCCCATCTTCTCGAGATAAGCAACGATGATATTTTGACAATTGGCTTTCTGCCCATGTCGGTATTGTGTATGTCGGACTGTTGTTTTACTATTATTAAATTGGCACCTATGTAAGTTATCTCGCTTTAGAGTGGATATGGAAATAAAATAGAAATATAATATCAATTTCATTTTCTGCTAATCATGACTTTCGGACTAAACTAAGCAAACTAATTGTGTTGAACATAAGCTTTTGCAACTTACTTCCATGCCATGAACATATATGTAGGTTCAGGAAAGATATATCCCTCTGGTTGAGGTTTATTTAGGTCATCTATTTTTAAACCCATTGGGAAATCCACACTGCTCAGATCAGCAATATTAAAAAAAAAAAAACATACGCTACTTGACTTTACTTAGGTATTATTTTCTCAGTGCAGAACCATTCAATCACAGGTTTGCAGGTTTGTAACATACGCTTCTCTATTTCAACGAATTTAAATTCACTATCAGTTGATTCGTGTGGAGCATTACAATGTGTGTAATTGTATTTAGTATATTAAATAAATACTGAATATAAAGCTATTGATTAAAAAAATACACTGATACTGTTAACCTAATGTTAAAACATGTTTTTAATATGCTACAGGAAGCAAATATGAACAAATTAGTGTCTCTTCATCATGCAGCGTGTATACTAAATTAAAACATCATAGCAAAGAGGTCAATACGAGTTTACGGTTCGTACTGCCTTTATTTAATTTAACATGAACCACAGAATACTGAGGGAATACAAGATTACGAGCTCTCTGTGCTGACAAGAAATAGTGAAATCGAACGTTAATGAGAAGCGATAAGTAGGTTTTTATGATTTGTCACTGTTATAGTACGTTTCTTTCTTGTTTGAGAATTAGAGGATACCCTTCCTAGTTTCGCCGTCCAAGAGGCAGATGAAATAGAGTTCATCTTTTATATGATCTCCGTATTTAATCGGACAATTTGGTCAGCACTTTGCATTTTACTGGGTACTGGGTACCCATAAGAGCTGGGTGGGCTTAAGGAATTCCTAAGGAAGTCCTAAAATATTTATTCACGTTTTATTTAATTTTTTAAAAAATTCCTAAATAATATAGGCTATTTTTCTGTTAGTAATTTTATTGATTTTAGATCGCTTTAAGTTAAGCTAGCCGAGTGTGTCATGTCTGAGCAACCCAAAAACTTGGTACAGTTAGATCCTGACCCAGCACCCGCTATTATATACGCTAATATACACGACCCACCCAATCTGCCAAGTGCAGAAAATAACATCAAGAACACTGTTTATAGGCCAAGCATTGAAACTGACACGGTTGACAAATTACGTCGCCTGTCGGGACTGACACGCCGTGTAACAACACACTCCGGGTGCTTGAGTTGACCTTTATTGTACAGCACGTCAATAGTGTTTCTTCAAGACTTTTTTCTCCAGGTGGGGGGGGGGGGGGATTTGGGGGGGGGGTTGAGACGAACACTGATAAAAGTATATATTTTCTATATAAATTTTGTTACGTTCGGGAATAAAATAACAACCCATCAAATGACGAAATGGAATTTGTATAGAAAACATAATGTTACCACTATGCACGCCTCCACCCCCCCCCCCCCCCCCCGGAAAATATTTTCCGCCCCCCTCCCGAAAACTATCAAGTGCCCCCCGGAGAACAAAGTAGGTCTGGAAGAAACACTGCTTCAGTCACATTGTTCTACCAACCGCACAGACCAAACTTTATTAGTCCATCGCTAGAGAAAATAAAAGCAGGAGTGATCTCCCCTAAACTTTCTCGAATATACTTATATAAGACTACGGGTGACGGAAACTGGGGAAATAGACATGATTTTAATTTTTTTTTTTATTATTTAAACTTTAAAAATAGAATAGAATAAAATAGAAAAAGAATTGCGCATCAAGTCAACAGCAAAAAAATGTGTATATAATAGTGCGGGATATTAGTACTTTATAAATTCATATGCGTTTGTGAGAATTCGGAAATAGCGTGAAGTACAACTTCCGGTATAAGGAAATTACTCAAAATTTAACAAAATGCATATGATTAGATTTTTTACTAATATGAGAAATTTTGTTTATCTATCTGAAAAAAAATCAAGCTTTTGAAAAGTAAGCACCACTTCCGGTTATCGGAAATCGCTGAAAAGTTAATACAGAACTAAAAATTTAATACAATACTATATATGGAATTTCATCAATCTAGCTGTAACGGTAATCAAGTTATCGTGTTAACAGACTCAGTCACACACACACAGAGAGAGAGAGAGAGAGAGAGAGAACAGTTCACTGTTCAATGTTAACTGTTGTCACTAAACAAAACAAAAAAGCCAAATCTACTCTTACTGTTATTTACAATAAACAATCATAGCATAATTCCCAAAGTTTATATTACATTATATTTACTGTATATTTCATGAGGCATGCTAAGACCTATTTTCCAATATTATTGACATTTCGTCTTCTAAGGCAATGTACATTTACATTTTTACTTTTTCAAATACAGGGTATAGAGGAAGTATTGTAATCGTGCACAAATATCGCATGAAATTTTGACAGTTTTCATCTTTTTATACCTCAGTACTTTATCATATACGGAGTATAGGGGACTTATTTTAATCAGGCAAATTTATAAATGCGGATTTATCAAAATTTCAGCGTACTATGAGTAATCGAGTCGGAAAATTGGGCTTTGCAATTCTGTCCGTATGTCTGCCTGTGTGTGCGTATGTGTGTCAGTGAACACGATAACTTGAGTACCGTTACAGCTAGGTTGATGAAATTTTATATACAAGTATTGTATCCAATTTGTAGTTCTGGATTAACTTTTCAGTGATTCCCTGTAACTGGAAGTAGAACTTGTTCTACTTTTGCTTTTTTCAAAAGCCTATAACTTGAGAACTTTTTCAGTTAGATAAACGAAATTTCACATATTAGTAAAAGATTTTATTATTTGCCTTCTATCAAATTTTGAGTATTTTCTGTTTACCGGAAGTTGTAATTTACGCTATTTCCGATTTCTCAAAAAACGAAAATGAATTTATATAATACTAGAATTCTGTACTATTATACGCATATCGTTTGACGTTCACTTGGTGTGCAAAAAAATTTTTTACGAGATTCTATTCTACTTATAAAAAGTTTTAAGCAATTAAAATTGGATTAAAAATCATGTCTATATCCCGAGTTACAATGCCCGTTGTTGTTTTTATATAAGAATTTCAAGAAAGTGAAGGGGAGATCACTCCTGATTTATTTATTTCTCTGTAAAAATGAAAGGCACATGCACAGTTTGTTTTTTTCTGGTCCGCTGAAAATTGCGTTACCACAAAATTTTAGCGAGGAATGAGAATGTGACGGTAAAACTGTACCGCCACTTTGCTTACGTCAATACCAGCAACATACATTTTTATGTGATACACTATACAATCCAAACATTCTCTTTCTTACCATTTTGAGCTCACTTTGTTCGTTACACGCGGAGTTGGGGCCGTCGGCCCGACCTCCACGCGCTTTGGGTTTGGTTTTATTTGATTGTTTCTTTATTTCCGTATATTATTTTAATTGCGTTGGTTACTGTTTATTATCAGTTAACACGGTACTATTTACAGTTGACAGTTAGTATAGTTTTTTTAGTATGTTATGTTCATTACTGAGATTTTCATTACAATAATCATGCCATTTTGTTAAATATGGCTTTAACGTAAAAAAAAACAAAAAAACTTATACTTTTTATTAATCAATTTTGCTGTTCGCTAAGCACCTTTCTCATGTGTATGTTCATTAGAGCTAGTGCACATTGTCGATCACAAAAATTAACATTTTAACCAGCCCCCATTCCCTGTTCGCGTTCATTTATTAATACGTGGGGATTCCAGGGGGAGTCCAATTTAACAATATGTACAGGAGACTTCTTCTGTTCATGTGAAGGACATGACCCAGCAATCGCCATCTCCTCATTCGTACTTCTAAAACAATGTCGTTTAAGCCTGTCCTTCGTCGTATTTCCTTGTACGGGATTTTTTTCGACTCACTTTATCCTGAGAATATGTTGGAGGGATCTTCTTTCAAAGCCTCTGAGTCGGCTCTCTACTCTCTTGATCAGTTTCCATGACTCTGCAGCATAGTGGAGTACAGAATGTACATTAGACTTGTAAATTTTTATTTTGGTTTTCTGCTGCAGTGAGGATGATTTCCAGATCTTAGCAAGTCTGTTGAAAGCCTGCGCTGCCATTGCTATTCTAGTGGCTATTTCTTTCTTGATGATGACATTTGCTGAGGTGCAGCTGCCGAGGTACTTAAAGTCTTCGACCTCTTCTAGCTTAATTAAATAAGGTAGACTACTAAAACCAGTCACCATTTAGTTGTTGCTTTTGTTTTGTTTTCAGAAAATGTAAGAAGCACATTTGGCAGGAATAAGGTGTAATTGGCTGAGAACCACGATGGCTTCTGATGTCCATGTGCCTTATTGTGAAGATGAGACATGTTTAAATCATCTTCGAGATCTGATCAAGACTTTGCAAAAGTATGGGTATACTGTTTCTAAGAATCTTATTGGTAAGTTTTTTCTGTATTGTTTATGGTGTAAAGAGACAGTATTGCAACAATGAAAAATGCCGAAATCCAAAATTTGAAAAAAAATTGACGTTTTAGCTCATTGTAATAGTTTTGCAAACATACATGTATGTTTGTCTGTGAACACGATAACATAAGTACCGTTCAGTTGTTTTTCTTGCATACGAGCCGACCCGCGACGTAGGATACGCCGCTATTTAGTGACGGGCGAAGACTTCCTGAAAGACTCAGGGTGGATTGGAGTTGCGTATGCCTGGAGAGCGAGGGAGGAGGCGGGAGAACAGTTAGAGAGTCGGCGAGTGTGCGTAGTGTCTCGCATGGTTCGGCGACGTAGAGAATTATATATATATATATATATATATATATATATATATATATATATATATATATATATATATATATATATATATCTCCGTAGTTTTTTAAATCAACTTTTGATTGTTTTCCGGTATTTGAAGTTTTTACTTTACTCAAAACTTAAATTTATTTATTCAGAAAGTATTCTTTTTTTACTTTCTCGTATATACGAAGTATAGAGAAAGTCTTGTAATCGTGCAAAAAAAAAAAATCGAGATTTTTACAAATCTCGACGTTTTACACCTCACTGATACGGAAAAACATAATTTTGCAATCTTGTCCGTATGTCTGTGTGTCTGTCTGTGTGTCTGTCTGTCTGTCTGTCCATGTGTAAACACGATAACTTGAGTACCGTTACAGCTAGGTTGATGAAATTTCATATATAAGTATTTTATCAAAATTTTAGATCCGTATCAACTTTTGAGCGATTTCTGATAATCGGAAGTGGTACTTTTCCTACTTTGAATTTTTCAAAATCCTATAACTTGAGTACTATTTCAGATAGATAAATGAAATTTCACATGTAAGTAAAAGATCTAATTCTCTACCTTCTGTTAAATTTTGAGTAATTTCCGTTGACTGGAAGTAGTACTTTACGCTACTTCCGATTTCTCAAAAAACTAATGTAAATTTTAAAAGTACTAATAATAATATTGCGCACTATTATGCGCTTTTTTATTTGGCGTTCACTTGGTGTGAAATTAATTTGTCTACGAGATTTTATTCTATTTTTAAAACTTTAAGTATTTAAAATGGATTAAAAATCATGTCTATAGCCCGAGTTCCCATCCCCTGTTATTTTATATAAGAATATTCGAGAAAGTTTAGGGGAGATCACTTCCGGTTTATTTAAATTTAAATTTATATCGTATTTCTATTAGGTGACAATACGAGCTTTTCGTCGTAAACATACTGACCATTTCTATGAAAGCGTTATACCAACTTTTACTGTTTCATACGAATGTACGAAGATGTAAGGGTCTCAGTCACGTTTTGTTAACATTTGTACTAATCCAAAAAAAAAAAACAACTCAAAGCGAAGTGAAATTTAGACATTTTACAAAAATTAATAAAAAACATCTTTTCCTGCAATTAAAAAGTGGTAAAAATGGTTTTATTCTAATAAGCTCTGGCATAGATTGCATTATAAATGAATTTGAGAACATATAAAGCATCACACATGGAAGCTACCAAGCTTGAAAACAATTAATGTATATAGCACAGTATTATATCTAAGGTTATAGACATACATAATACACATTTTAAAATATGTGTGTATGATACTGGATGGAATTGAATGGGCAGCTTATCTAATATATAAATTTCAAATGGAATATGTGCCTCTGTGGCGGACGGAATTGTGGATGATATGTATTGTTATGCTCAGCTTTCCATTTAATGTTGGAACCAGGCACAACACAAATTAAAAACAGAATCCACAGTTCATTTATAACAGTCAAATATAATCTTGTAACTTCTACAGAGAAACAGTGAACATTGAGACGAAACACTGACTACATGCTACCCTAAGTTGACGATACCACACACTGCTTACACACTAGAGTTCACACACTTGTCAGGGGAGGCGACTCTCACACCCAATCTCTCCGTGCATCACGCTTTCGTTATGAACATCTAGGCCACGTCACACCTCCCCCCCCCCTAAAAAAAGAGGTTTCTTATTTTCCCTTAAATTAAACAGCATTTCTAAGGTCTATCCTGCACAACTACTTAACATGTACAGTAAAAATGTTAATACAATATTTATCTGACCTTTTACATACTTTAAATCTCCCTATAAATAAATGATGACGGGTAAAAAATTATATCTCTACAATCAAATGTTGGACGTAAGCATGAATTAACTACTTATAGCTTTGTACGTCTAGTCTATAAGTCAACAAGGTTTTAAAAAAAAACATTTGTCATCAATAAAGCATTTGAATTGAATCACAAGACATCAGAACAATGTTACTTTCCTTTCGTTTTATGAAGTGAGAGATGTTGAATCTAGTCAATGACGATAGAATACAAACTAGAAGCTATTCAGATAATACAAGTTCGTACACCACTCTAATTTTGGTACAGTATTCTGGCTCTGGATGTCGATCGGGATCTCGCTTTGGCTCTCGCTTTGGCTCTGGTTTTGGCTCTGGCTTTGGCTTTGGTTCTGGCTTTGGCTCTGGCCTTGGCTATGGCTTTGGCTCTGGCTTTGGCTCTGGCTTTGGCTCTGGTTTTGGCTCCGGCTCTGGCTTTGGCTCTGGCTTTGGCTCTGGCTCTGGTTTCGGCTCTGGCTCTGGTTTTGGCTCTGGCTCTGTTTTTGGCTCTGGCTCTGTTTTTGGCTCTGGCTCTGTTTTTGGCTCTGGCTCTGGCTCTGGCACTGGCTCTGGCTTTGGCTTTGGCTTTGGCTCTGGCACTGGCTCTGGCACTGGCTCTGGCTCTGACGTTGGCTCTCGCTCTTCTGCTCAGCTCTGGCTCTGGAGTCCAAACATTTTTGTTCCGATCCTGCTATCTTGACATCACAGTCTTTAACTATGATTAAAGTCTCATTAGTATCTTTGAAAAGACTATTAACTTGATTCTGGATTAAAGTTACCTTCTGCTCAGCTGCCCTTGACCTAGTTCTCCACACTGCTGACTTGCTGCCTAGATTGCGTGTCTGGTTGACTAGGTCCTCTGCAAGTGGGACAGTAGCTAGAGCGTTCATGTTAGTGGCGGCGCACTGATTTGCTTCTGATGTGATCAAGGACTGAGATGCTAATATTGTAGCTCTAAAATTTGATAACTTACTTGGTATGCTAATGTAGTCCACTTTGTAGCTAGCAAGTTCCCTCAACTTCTCTTCTAGCTTTATCACTGTATTTTTAATTTCATTATTTATGGCCATGATGTCTGTAGCACTGTTCACAAGTTTTGTGGCTGTTGATACTACGTCTTTTCTGGTCGGCTGTGACTGCTTCCGTTAATACTAGATATTTTCTAGTCGGCTGTAACGCTGCCGTTAATACTAGATATTTTCTAGTCGGCTGTAACGCTGCCGTTAATACTAGATATTTTCTAGTCGGCTGTAACGCTGCCGTTAATACTAGATATTTTCTAGTCGGCTGTAACGCTGCCGTTAATACTAGATGTTTTCTAGTCGGCTGTAACGCTGCCGTTAATACTAGATATTTTCTAGTCGGCTGTAAACGCTGCCTTTGATACGAGATATTTTCTAGTCGGCTGTAACGCTGCCGTTAATACTAGATAGTTTCTAGTCGGCTGTAACGCTGCCGTTAATACTAGAAATTTTCCCGTCGCTTGTGACACTGCCGTTGATACTAAATATTTTCCTTTTTGTCTAGGGGTAAAAACTCGAATCTTGATGTGTTCAAATCCCGGACTTAAGCCCTCACTTGTTATGCTCAGCTTTCCATTTAATGTTGGAACCAGGCACAACACAAATTAAAAACAGAATCGACAGTTCATTTATAACAGTCAAATATAATCTTGTAACTTCTACAGAGAAACAGTGAACATTGAGACGAAAACATTGACTACATGCTACCCTAAGTTGACGATACCACACACTGCTTACACACTAGAGTTCACACACTTGTCAGGGGAGGCGACCTCTCACACCCAATCTCTCCGTGCCTACACGCTTTCGTTATGAACATCTAGGCCACGTCACAGTATAAAATAAAAAACAACTTGATCGCCATTGTGTAATATTTTTTAAGTATTCATTTTTGTATGATTAAAAAACTCAATATTGATCATTTTCAAACGTTTGCATATAGGTTTGCGTTTGTGTTTACTTTTGTGTTTGCGTTTGTGTTTGAGTTTGTGTTTGTATTTGCGTTATGTTTGCGTCTGTGTGATAGTTTAGGTTGTGTTTAGTTTTGGTTAGGGTAAAGTTAAGAGTTACAGTTACGTTTATGATTATTTGTTATTTTATGAAACGTCTCAGCCAATGCTGTGTATATGCTACTTAATAAACACACAAGGGGTCGTCCATAAATGACGTCACACTCGTAGGTACGAGGGGGGTTTCTGTAATTTTGTGAAGGTGTGTGATGAGGGTGAGGGAGGTTCAGATGGAGCGACGTCACACTTTTGCATTATAAAACAAACCGGGAGTGATCTCCCCTAAACTTTCTCGAATATTCTTATATAAAATAACAGGGGATGGGAACTCGGGCTATAGACATGATTTTTAATCCATTTTAAATACTTAAAGTTTTAAAAATAGAATAAAATCTCGTAGAAAAAAGATTGCACACCAAGTGAACGCCAAAAAAAAAGTGCATAATAGTGCGCAATATTATTAGTACTTTAAAAATTTACATTAGTTTTTTGAAAAATCGGAAGTAGCGTAAATTAGTACTTTCAGGCAACGTAAATTACTCAAAATTTGACAGAAGGTAGAGAATTAGATCTTTTACTTACAAGTGAAATTTCATTTATCTATCTGAAATAGTACTCAAGTTATAGGCTTTTGAAAAATTCAAAGTAGGAAAAGTACTACCGGTTATAGGAAATCGCTCAAAAGTTGATACGGATCTACGATTTTGATAAAATACTTATATATGAAATTTCATCAACCTAGCTGTAACGGTACTCAAGTTATCGTGTTTACACACGGACAGACACACACACACACAGACATACGGACAGAATTGCAAAGCCCAGTTTTTCAGACTGGATTACGCATAAAACCTCTTAATTTTGATAAATCTGGATTGATAATTTTTGCCCGATTAAAATAAGTCCTCTATACTTCGGATGTGATGAAGGACTGAGGTGTAATACGGTGAAAGTTGTTAAAATTTCAATTGATTTTTGTGCACGATTACAATACTTTCTCTATACTTCGTATATACGAGAAAGTAAAAAGGAATGTTAGAAATCGAATTTTAGACGTTACTTCGCGTTTTAGAAAACAGTTTTAATAAATTGTAATAGGAATTGATTAAAATACTCTTTGTTGACAGAGTTCAGACAAGATTTTGGAAACAGATCGATGTTTAAAAAAAATTCAACTGCAATTTTGACGGTGGTTGTAGGCTGAGGTTTGACGTCATTTTAGGGGGGGGGGGGTCTGGCTTTTTGTGACGATGTGTGACAGAGGGCAAGGGGGGAGGTAAAAGTCGTCAAAAAAGCGTGACGTCATTTATGGATAACCCCCAAGTCATGCTAATTTACTGATAGGTTTTTCAATGAGGCCAGTGCAGGGCCTGGCAGGGACGGCTAGTAATCTAATAAACTTAGAAGCTAAAACTGAATACCACAACTACACATTAGACTTTTTAGCGTAATTTCCTTACAGGAATTGCTATTATTAACTCGCCATTTCTGGATGGATGGATGGATGGATGGATGGATGGATGGATGGATGGATGGATGGATGGATGGATGGATGGATGGATGGATGGATGGATGGATGGATGGATGGATGGATGGATGGATGGATGGATGGATGGATGGATGGATGGATGGATGGATGGATGGATGGATGGATGGATGGATGGATGGATGGATGGATGGATGGATGGATGGATGGATGGATGGATGGATGGATGGATGGATGGATGGATGGATGGATGGATGGATGGATGGATGGATGGATGGATGGATGGATGGATGGATGGATGGATGGATGGATGGATGGATGGATGGATGGATGGATGGATGGATGGATGGATGGATGGATGGATGGATGGATGGATGGATGGATGGATGGATGGATGGATGGATGGATGGATGGATGGATGGATGGATGGATGGATGGATGGATGGATGGATGGATGGATGGATGGATGGATGGATGGATGGATGGATGGATGGATGGATGGATGGATGGATGGATGGATGGATGGATGGATGGATGGATGGATGGATGGATGGATGGATGGATGGATGGATGGATGGATGGATGGATGGATGGATGGATGGATGGATGGATGGATGGATGGATGGATGGATGGATGGATGGATGGATGGATGGATGGATGGATGGATGGATGGATGGACGGATGGATGGATGGATGGATGGATGGATTGATGGATTGATGGATGGATGGATGGATGTGTGTCCGCAATGGATGGATGTGTGTCCGCAGCTTTAAGTCGTATCTCCTCCTCAACGAAGCAATATCGAGGACTAGTTCCAAAGCAAATATGTTAAGCAAGTTTCGAGGATGATTGTGAGCCTAAAAAAATTCCCGGAATTCCTTCCTGGATTTCCCGGAAAAGCCGAAACACCTCGAAAAAATGCAGTTTTTGGCCCATATCTCGGCAACCAGACCACTTAGCGACTTGAAACATGTACCAATCGATTTCTGCCATAATTTAGAACAATATTGCCGAAGAAAGTTTTCAAAAATATCCTTTCGTTCGGTCACAAATTTTTTTAAAAAATTACATAAACACCTACAAACGAATCGTTCTCCTAGCTTGAACGCACCCCAGCATTATACGTCTTGTGTTTTGTCCCCGTGTGTGCTTTACGCTACGACAGAGCAATTTTTAGTTAACATAAGGAAATTGCGCTTAAATTGTCACTAGACTTTTTATTAACTTGTTTATAATCTAATCCTATCTGCTTTAAGTGGAACATAGAAAATTAAAGTAATAGAAAAATGTAGCGTAAGTTACAGTAATCCTAATGTATGAAATGTTTCTTGCATACATGGTGTATTACAGAGGCGTATCGACCCATCCCGGAACCCGGGGACAAACTTTTCGATTTGCACCCCTCCCTCAAACTTTCGATTTGCACCCTCCCCTCGAGATTTCGATTTGCACCCCCCCCCCCCCCCCCCCTTCAAGATTTTGATTTGACACCCCCCTCAAACTTTCAATTTGCACCCCCCTCAACCTTTCAATTTATTTTTCCAACCCATTTTGGCGCCCCCTAAGGTCGGCGCCCGGAGACATATGTGCCCCGCCCCCGCCCCCCCCCCTCTCGCTACGCTACTGGTGTATTACCATGTACTGTAAGGAAATTATTTATTCTTTACAAAATGTCTTTTATAAAGCAAAACATTCTTTTACAGTTGGAAATTATGAGCAAATATTGAAAGAAAAAATTGAAAACAGCTGTTGTACGGTACTGCACAAGTGTGAGACTTTTTGGGATAAGGTTAGGTACAATTTTTTTTTACTGAGATTACATTACACAAGAAGCTAGAAGACAAAAGATTAAGAAACAAACAACAAAATATACTCCTCTCACCAAATTAGTTTGTGTTTCAAAAAGAATAATTAAAATTTACTTCATGGAGATGCGTATGCAGAACTTGTATGAAATGCAGCATATCTTTAGGTCATCTAATCAATTAACGTTAACAAATAATAGAAATAACAAAAACAAAAAGCTATCAGCAGAATATTTTTTAAAATACGTGTAGTAATGCTAATAGTTACATTTTCTATTGAAGATATTAATAACCAATGCAAAAATACTTATAAAAATTCATTTTTTAAATGAATTAAGAAGTACGGTTTTTTTTTTTTTTTTTTTTTTTGGTGAATTTTTATGTACATTATTTTAAGTTCTTAATTATGTCAGTACTCTTTCCAATTTGTTTTGGATAATGTAACATAGAGGGGTTGTAATCACTTAAAAATACTTTGTGAAAATGAAAGTTAAAATTGTTATAGTTTGATTAATGTTTTCTTTTTGTTTCAGCTTCATTTCTTTAAACTTCATGAATATATTTTAGCACAAAAAGCTAAGTTTATAGTTGTTAGATTTGAAAGTATTTACCCAGCACCGAAGAAACAAAGCAATAATGATAATGCATATGAGCAATTTTTCAAAGAATTTTATGTGCTACCAGTAACCAATGAGGACAATATAAATGATTTCCTCAAAGGAATTCAACAATCATTTCCGGAATCAATGGATGTACAAGAAACGGTTACAGAGAATACCGATATAGAAGCCAGAAATATTACTGAGATTGTATCTACAGATTCTGATAGTTCTGCGCTTTACTATGCATCTTTCTTTAAAAGAATTGAAGAACTTAGACTTAAAGAAAAGCAACAAAGTTCAAATAAAGGTCAAAAGTTGGAGCGATTTCCTGAAGCTCATGGAAACAAACTAAATGATGCGTGGATTTTTGCAAGGGTAGAGAATCAAGCACAGCTGTCAAACCATATTTTAGATTGTAAGTTGAATTACCTCATACATGTAAAAATACTTCACTTGTGATTTAAATTATATAGTTTAAAGAACAAGCAGGGGTCGGCGTGGTCGAGTCGGTAAAGCTCATGGCTGCTAAACCGAAAAGTCTCGAGTTCGAACCCTCGGGCAGATGAGGCTCGTTAGCTGGGGACAGCCACTCTTCTAGGAGAGACAACTCCAAAATTAAACAACTACTGCCAAAGGCTATGGAAGCAAATCCAAAAAGAAAAGCAGGCTGAAATCGGAGTCAATGGCCTCTATGGCGCATAACCAGTTGACACGTAACGCTTAATTGTGTTGGAGGCGTGGTCGAGTCGGCAAAAAGCTCATGGTTGATAAATTCGAATAAAGTCTCGAGTTCAAACCCACTGGCAGATAAATCTCGATCACCTACAACACTAATAATTAAGAACGAAGAAGAAGAAGAAGAATAAAGAACAAGCAAAAATGCATGAAAACGCGGTTGTAACCAAACAGACGGACAAAAAAAATTACAAACTTTTAAACAAACTTGAATTTTAGTAGTATACTATACTGCCTGTTATTCTTGAATAACAGTGAATTTCGGGAGTGATCCATAAATGAAGTCACTTTTGTTTGAAGATTTTTATCTATCCCCTTTCCTTCCCACTATCACACAAAAATTTAGACTTCACATTCAATAAGACGTCACACCTCATGCAACATATTATTGTCTTTTAAAAACATCAATATCGGCTGAGCATTTGTCTGACCACATTATCTCTGCATTCGCTGAGGACACAGAAACAGGTGAACTCTACTTTACCTGCCCCCGTGTCCCGCCAACTCCCGATAGGCAAGTTTATTATTCACATATTTTAAAAAATTGAAAAAGTTACATTGACATGATGTGTCTTGAACCCGTACCCCCCGCATGGTGCCTATTACACTATCAACTCAGCTAGCTGGGCACTTCCGATTAGGCGCAAAATTAGTGGGATACCAAGAAACTTGAGTTACGCGAATAGATCCTATTATTTCAAATTTAAATTATATCATAAATTAGCCAATTCCATAGCAAAGAAACAAAGATTTACATAAAATAATTAAGGGCTGAAATAGTTTAGTATAGTTTAGTATAGAAACTCATTATTGGCATAGATTCTATATCTAGATAAAGCTAGATCTAGAGATCTAGATCTAAAGAGATATCGATCTAAACTAGATCTTTAATCTATGGCTGGCGTAAGTTATTTTTCCGTAGCTGTAGATCTAGATCTAGATAAATTCTTTGTATTCTCGAATAAAATGATCCGTGAAACTAAAACGCAAAGATTTATATCAAATATTTAAAGAATAAAATATTTTAAAATATAGAAACTCAATTATTTATTATGTTTTTTCTGATTGTTTTCATTTTTAACTAATTAATTTTGGTTTAACCCAGATTCTAGATCTATATCTAGAACTTAAGTAAATTTCCTGACAGCCAATCTGTATATCTAGAGAAATTTATTGTATACTCAAATTATAAAAACTGTTAAAAATTGATTATAGTGTTGAAACCTAATACAAATAGTATATCGTTTTAATGCCCAAAAATTCCCCAAAGTTAAGTGTTTTGAACAGACACAAATTTTGAAAATTCATAAAAAATTAGTTTGAAGATATGCACTTAAAATTTTTAGCTGAGTGCCCCAAAATATAGAAGAAGATTATGAATTGATTGTTTATTGGGCTTAAAATGTAATATATTATGAATGGTGGAAAACCTACGAAGGGGTTAATTTTTCAAGATGGCCACCGTTGTCATAGTTACCAAGATTTTTCCACCATTTTTTTAGTGGAAATGCATATGCGGATGTATCTTAATAAAGCTGTAAAGAAATAACTGTTTTCTAACGAGTATTAAAAAAGTTTTTTTTTTGCCGGAGCCTTCCCCCTTAATAGATTACTATATTCAATAACAGAAGGGGAAATAACTAGATCAACGCGATCACACTTAGCAGTCTGGTGAGCTTTGCTTCACGAAAATTTTTACAATAGTAGAGCTGGTAGATCTAGTGAAGGCTATTAGGGGCAGATAATAAAGATTTTAAACTATTTGAAGCTAGTGGGAGGTAGCACGATTAGGAACTATCCTTCGCAGATAATCGTCTTTGAGATATCGCAATCTACTTAGGTTGTTTCAAAGCAAATACTTTTAGTCCTGTTGACTTCATAAATTAGGAACCACTAAAAAAGTAGAAAATAAAACTAATTATTTTCTTTAATCAAAGCTGTGGTCGCTCATGAGATCTTTTACAGATTTTAGCGACAAAACATTTGATTAAGAAAGCAAATTAGTTTATATTTTCATATTTTCAGTGCATGTAAAAGCTTGTTGCTATAACGATTTAACATTTATTTAAATAAGTAATTCATTTTAATTGGGTTGACACTAGATATATAAAGGCTTCGACTAAACATATTTGAATTTAGTTAAAATCCGACCAGTAGATTGTGATCTCTGAAAGACAGTTTTCTGCCGCTTCCAGCAACCAACGATGACCAAACAACTTTCAGCGTGAACCACAGTACATCTGTTATCTCCACTTTCATAATTGAATGTACTAATCTTTAAATTAATCTAATTAGATTTTTAAAGATAGGTATCCTTGTATTGCCCTCGAAAAGAAGACGCTTGGAAAGTATTAACGGAATCGGTGCAATAGAAGTGGGTCAAAATTCGATTATAAGTTTTACCACAAACCCCCAAACAAACGGATCTAAAAAGCTTGTAAAAAAATGAGAAAAAAAGTAATACTTTCTAATGCTAAAAATTTATGAATAATAAACTAAATTTTAAAATGAAACTCATAAGGTAGTTAAAACTTGTAAATTTTTAAAACCCAACTACTTACATTGATTATTTTCTTTCTTTCCACCAATTCAATTAAATCAGCATCGATAAAAAATAAATTGGAATAACAAGAACACCTTTAGCTACATCAATTTTCAAAGCAAAATCCGTGTTTAGAAACTAAAATACATGTACACTCATTGCTAACCCCATCCCTTAGTAAAGCTGTTTTTAATTTAAAATATTAAATGCTTGTAAATCTGTTCAATTGTAAAACATTTATATATTGTGTTGTCTTTTTGCATAAACAAATCATTAATGTGTATTTTCTTCAGTTTCCTCTTTAACAAACTTTAAGGAACTAAAGGAAAAAGTGAACAAAATACAGAGACATCCAGAAAAACATATAGCTAACTTATACTTCTTATTGCACATAGTAAGCTTTTTTATTTTATATATACCAAATAAATACATTAGTGAATAAATATATACTAGATTATTTAAATTTCTCCAAGTACAATATTCATTGAGCTTTTTTTAGTTTGTGAATTTACTTTTTTCTACTCCCGAGCCAAATCGTTTATAAAAGTTGAGCAGTGTTTCTTCCAGACTTTTTTCTCCGGGGGGGGGGGGGGCGGTAGGCTTTCTTTGGTGGGGGGGGGGGGGGCGGACACTGTTAAAAGTATATATTTTCTATATAAATTATATAAATTTCATTTCGTTCGGGGGGGGGGCGGTAAAAAAAGAGATGCCTGGAAGAAACTCTGAAGTTGAGTATTGAAACAACATACACTTTAATTATCAGACACATATTAGTTCTCGAAGCAAATTATTAATGATTTAAACAGAAAACTCATAATTATATTATCTTTGTTTTGCAGGTTTTACCTGATATGCACAGCAGCAATGATGCACTCGGAATCACGTACTTGGCTGTTAGTTGTCCAAACATACAGCGTAGAGCTTTCCTCTACCTGGAAGATCTTATCTTTAAAGGTCGACTTGCAAAAAATACGGATCTGGATACCCTTGTACTTACACTTTACTTATTTGATCAGCTTATGTACTTAAATTAATCAAATATCACATATTCGGAAAAAAAAGTAGGAAAAATGGTAATTAAACTCAGTTTCAATGTTATTTTTTTAAATTAACTTTATTAAATAATTTGCTTTTCAGACTGTTATTCAAGAACTATTTTTTAACTCCATTACTGAAATAAAACAGCAGAGGTAAATTACAACATGAATTTTTTATCAATATCCGGTCATACTTTTGGCCTGGTATATTTTACACTATTTTTATAATGAACACTACAGCTTGAATACCTTACCTGTCTAGAAGATGCATAATGACTAACAACATTTTCTACAGATCCATAAACAGTGTGGAATCATCTGTTGAAAAGCACCTCAATATTATAATAGAAGTACAGATTGAAAAGATTTTCTTGTGCCACAGTTCAGAAGATTTTGATAAGCTTGATCTAGCTAATAAAGAGATGAGGTTTGTGATGTTATTCTGACGACTATAAATAAATAAATAAATAAATATATATATATATATATATATATATATATATATATATATATATATATATATATATATATATATATATATATGAATGTTATCTGAACATGCACATGCGCATGCACATAAACAATCTAAATCTAAGTTGAATCTAAGTCTTAGTTGAAGTAAATCTAAATCTAAAAACAAGCTTTAAAATGCAGTAAATTATATATTTTAAAAAAGCAATGTTTTGTAAAAAAAAACTGTATTCAATAATTTAATACTATTTTGTCAATCAGAAAATATTTGCCTAAATGTAAAGGCTGGCCTAATGTGGACAAACTAATAAAAGTACTGGAAACTATTCTTGATTCACCTGGAGATAAAATACAACAGGAAGTGCGTCACATTTTGTCCAAGAAACAATCAGATGAATATCCCTACATCAATGTCGCTAACTTTTTGGGGAAAAAACTTTCGGTTATATTTGCTGTTGTGCAAAGTCTTTTGAAAAAGGTAGATCTAAAATACGTTTTTCTAACGTTTGCCAGTTTGATTTCAATTTTAAAATTAATATAAACAAAACACTTCATGTAGATATTTTTTTTTTTACTAGGCAGTAATTTTGCAGGAGTTAAAAAAATTTAAAAAGTTATAACAAAATTTAGTTAAATACGGATTTTTACTGTTGGCATTTCGGTTTCAATTGTGTCCAACGACATTAGCGCTTCGCATTCATCTCACATTGTGACGCTTCTACCCGAGGGAAGTGAAACGGGGGGCTTTTTGGTCCATTCTATTCAGGGGTGCGACTACTATACACATATTTTTTAACATTTTTACATATTTTATTCTAGCTTTTTATGAACATGAATGAGAAAGTTCTCAAGTTTTTCAAAGATTGTCTACATCCAAAATTTGGAAGAAAGTCACTGCTACTAGATTCTACAGTTAGTGATTTTCTCTTCAAAGGGCTTATCCATTTCCTAGCGCACGGATTGAGTAAGCAAAGAATGTTTTTGATTTCAATAGAGAAAAAAATTGAAATATAAGCTTGACAGATTTTGTGTTATTTGTACAAATATATTTTATATTCGTATTAAAGATCACACAAATAACTTTAAGCAATTGTAACCGGATTTACTACAAGCTTTCAAAAATAAATCTTCTAGGAGAGTCAACACACAGGAACATTGAAAATATTTGTAAAAACGTTATGGCTGTTATAAATTTATTATCCACTCAAGAAACAAGAAAGGTAATTTAATTTCTAATGTATTTCTTTTAAGATAAGATACTAACTTTCAAAACACCGAGAGGACAAAGGGCTAACTAGGGCAAAAAGCAACATAAAAAAACCGACTATGTATTAGTCAGAGTAAAATACAAATAGAAGGCGAGCTCCTAAGTGGCCGTCAAACCATAATGCCGAAAATCCATAAGGCCGAAAATCCATAAGGCCGGAAATCCATAAGGTCGACCAAAGTAGAAATTCTAATATTGCAAACAGTATGGCTTACTACATAGCTCCCCAAGAGAGAACCGTCAAAGAATGATATCAAAAGCCGTCTGTATTACCGCTCACATGCAAAAAGGGAGACAATGCTAGTTGTTATTCTTTAGGGTGTTTGGAAAAAAACGATAAAATCAACTTAGGAAGCCTGGTCACGTGCTATGACCGGATTACATTGTATATAAATACACAATTGTAATGTTACTCCATGTTTTACCATATTGTACTAAGTTATAAAAGTTTTATATTTAATTCTAGTGCTAGAACTTTGGGTTACAGTAATATATAAGAAAATTTTCAGTATCGTAAATTGTTACATTGATTAAAGATTGTGGACGCATTTTATAACACCACATTTGATAAAACCTGACAGGTCAGCTACTACTGAAAGGGTTTTAATTCTTATCTAAGATTGTATGACCTAGCCATATGGTGGGACAGTATTATCCGGTATGGTACTATGTGTAATTTAACTTGATTATTGTGTAAATTGTTCTATATAAATACTAAACATTTACATACCTAAGGTTTGCTGTTTTCTAAAACTTGTCGGCTTTATATCCATTCGGCTTCTTTGATGTGGACGTTATATTAATGTCGGCCTTTATCGAGTCTGCCATTTTGTATCGCCTTATTTTCTGTTAGGCTTTTGACTATCTCGGCCCTTTTGTCCTGGTCTCAAAAATTAGTAATTTATATAGCAATAGGAATTTATTTGTAAAAATTTATTTAATCTAATAATTAATTCAAATTTTATGTCGCATTGCATTGTCATCGATCATTTGACCCTTGCGTCAAGTTTAAAATAAATTAGTCGTTTGAAGTTGTCAAAATTTTGTTCGCCCGTTTTGACTTATTGCGAAGCACGACAGACAAAAGCACGACAGATAGAGAAAGCAAGTTGAATAAAAGCTTGTAATCAAATTCAGAAGATTTTTTAAAAGTCTGAGATAAAGTAGAATACGCCGTCCACTGGAAATCTACCGACAGCAGCTAATTCATTTATTTGAAGTTTACCTAATGTATCGATATTTTAGAAATGAGAAATTGCTTAACCATCAATTATGACTATTGGAAGTCATTCAAAATTTGAAGCAATTCATGCATAAAGTCATATATGACATTTCTCCTACCCATTCAATTTGGCGCCCCCTTCGGGAGCAAATTTTCAATTTGCACCCCCCCCCCCCCATCAATCTTTTGATTTGCACCCCCCCCCCCCCCCGCAAACTATTTATAATGAAAAAATGCAGCTAAAATGATACTTTAATTTGTTTTTACAACCCATTTTGGAGCCCCCTAAGGTCGGCGCCCGGGGACGTATGTACCCCCCTTTCCCCCCATCGCTACGCCTCTGCTCCTACCTAACTGAAACTTCATGAGTTATTGTGTTTTAAGGAAATAAAGAAACACTTTTGGTTACTGGAAATTGTTTAAAAGTTGATCGAAACCTACTCATACATTTTTATAATTATACGAGAAAAATGGCCCGTTGAGGAAGGATACAACAGGCGCTAGGTTAATAGTGCTGTCTCTTTTCTCTAAACTAAAACCAAAACCAAAATCACCACCTAAATTCAATTTAGCCGGAAACGAAAAATGACATTGAAAACGGATTTTTATCCAGAATCGTCATTTTTATAGCATTTAAGCTTGATCTACACGTAGTTATCGCGCATTTTTACTAAATATACTAAATATATTTAATATAGACGTAGCCATACCTCTAAACAATGCACATAATCTCAATCATGACAAAAGTCGCATTTAGAGTTTCCTTCAGGCAACTACTTGGGAGGAAGGGTCTCCGCACAGTCTCCCCCCCCCCCCCCCCCCGGCACACACCAAAGCACCTCTACCGCCCCATTCAACGATATATAATTATATATATATATACTTTATCCAGTCCGTCCCTTCACAGAAAATTCCACCCGCCCACGAAAATTTGAAGCACCCCCAAAGCCGACCATAATCAATTTTTTATTGTTAAAAAAATTAATTTTCGTGCATTTTTTACTTGATGGTTGTTTTGTAAAAAAGATTACCGTAGCTGCGGTTGGATTATCTTTATTCTATAGACACCATCCCACGCTCTTGTATATTCTCTTTCCCTTTGTTTTTAAACCAATCTGAAAGCCGTCCTCTTTCTCCTACAATCAAGCTTATCAAAGATAAGCAAACGTTCACGCCACTTCCATTACTTATTTCCCTTTTTTAAATAGTCAAATAGGGGTGCTCATAAGCTCCTTGTAATAGATTTGTACTAAACAAATTAAAAAGCAATTATTTATCTGAATTATTATTTTTTTTATAAAGTACTTAAAGAATGACACTGTATAAAAAGGAAATGTAATTAATATTAATAATATAAATACAAAAAAAAAATAAAAATAAACATAACACGAGACACCATTACTTATACAAAGCTTTCATGGTTTATATTCTTTTGACCGACTATGGGATTAGAGGTCTTATAGCAGATATAAAATAAAACCGATTTTCACAGAACACACTAATGCACTTACACACATGACATGTTGTTGTAATTTGTTTTAATTTTAAAAAACTTGTTTTTTAATTAAACCCGAACAGGGTTGCAATGAGTATCCTATGTTCGTATTTTGTGTATATATATATATATATATATATATATATATATATATATATATATATATATATATATATATGTATATATATTTATATATATATACTAGGCATACTGCCTAGCTTCGCTTAGGTTTTTAAAAGACATTTGAGAATTTGAATACTTAATTATTTAGCGATGGATTGGGTGTGGAGTGCTTTAATTTAAACAGTTATGCTAACTTTAGAAATAAATGTTTTTGTTTGTCATTTAAATTCCGTTCTCAGAGAATTATTGGAAAGTACGCAATGTATAACTAAAATGGAATTAGAACAACACAGGTTCCATGAACAGTATATCTCATAGTTTATATTACATTGCCTTTTAAAATTTATTTATTTATTTAATTATGATACGTAACTGAATTAACAACTTATATTTGTACTAAAACAAATGCTATACTTCGTCATTTTCTGTTTCTGTTTAAAATAGTATACAATTATTTGAAAAATAATCATTTTAGAAACATTACCTCACTTGAAAACTGAACGTATGACGTATGTCTTTGTAAACTTTTTTCTTTACAGTTGCTATGCTTATATAAGAAATTACGGTATATGAACATATTAAACGCTTATAATGGCTGTTTCCGACGGGAATAATTTTTTTTGTTACCCTCCAGGTTTGGTCTACGACGTCATATAATATTAAGGGGATCGTTCGTCAATTTATTTATATATATTTCTCATATAAGGAGAATTTCACTCACGATCATCTTTTAGCCCTCGTCGAGGGCTTTGAGTCTGACCAACAGTTTTTCCATACGGCATAGTCATCTATAGTAGTGTATGCAAAAACTTAGCATGATGTACAGACGTTAAGTAACCTAAAAATTGTGTTAAAATTTCCCTGTTTTTGCCATAAAATACAAACATTATATAGGGATATACGACTGGTCAGTTTTGACCCATTTAACGAGTTTTCCAGGACATGGCGAGTTTTTTGTGACACCCCAAGGCCTTCTTCTACCACCTCACAAAATTTCAAGGGGGGTCGTCGGAGGTAAAAAAAAATTCGTAATGGAGCTCATATAAAGAGAATTTCTCTCGCGGTCACTTTTTAGTCCACGTCGAGGAATTTAACTGAAACCAACAGTTTTCCCTAAAGGTCAAGCCATTTACCTAAAAGTATGCAAAAAATTAGCCAGATGTAAAGAGGGTAAGTGCCCTAAAATCCGTTTTGAAATGACCCTCTGTTTTTCCCATAAAATACAAAGATTATATAGGGAAATACGACTGGTCAGTTTTGACCCATTTCCCGATTTTTCCCTGACATGGCGAGTTTTTTGTGACACCCCAAGGCGTTCTCTTACCACCTCACAAAATTTCAAGGGGAGTCGTCGGAGGAAATTTTTTTTCGTAATATAGCCCATATAAGGCGCCGGTCAGTCGAGGTCAGTTTTGACCCCCTCTCTGTAGACTTTTCGGCCAACCGTCACCGGCCTTCGTGTTCTATCGCCCGAAGGCACCATCGTGCCAAATCTGACGCGCCTGCGGCGCCGGGAAGTGCCCTATCGGGCACTTGACCACTTTGCTTTATATATAATTATATATATATATATATATATATATATATATATATATATATATATATATATATATATATATATATGTATGTATGTATGTATATATATATATATATATATATATATATATATATATATATATATATATATATATATATATATATATATATATATATATATATATATATATATACATATATATATATATATATACATATAGGGGGCATAAAAACAATTTTTTTGCGGGGTGGCCCTTTTTTTCTAGTGTTTCTTTCGGATATTTTTCTGGGGGTGGGCACTTGGATTTTTGATGAGGCGAATAAAATGATCCGTGCGGTGGAGGACGACAATGGCAAAAGTAAAATATAGTTTCTATATCAATTATTTTTCGTTGTTTTTTTTTCAGGCGGAGGGATTAGACGTTCTACCGCGGGAGGGGGAGGGGGGTTAAATGGGCTTCGCCCCTACCCGAAGAGATGCATGAAGCAAACCACTTTTTAGACACATGAATAAGGCTTTAATTTTATTATAGAGTATCGATGACGTCATTTCTTACACCGCTTCACCCCTACCCGAATAATTGTATGAAAGAAACTCTTCACGCAAATCACTTAGATTAGACCAAATTGACTTTTTAATTCAATGTTTACTCGAGAATCAATGACGTCATATTACTGTGTGCACTCTCCCGCTTGAGATTATTTTCTACTATATGCTAAATGTGACGTCATATTCCGTTTCGTTTTACTATGAAAGTTTTTATTTTGCTTGTGTTTTCTCTAGAGCGTTCTTGTCAGATAGATACATAGACAGACAGCAAAACTATTAGTATTAATGTGAAATTTTCACAACCGAACTTTAACGGGATTCATGTTATAGACTTTGGAAAAAAAACGGCGGAAGCAGAGTAAGTACCACTTCTGTTACCAGAAATCGCTCAAAATATTGTAAGAAACTGCATGTCAGATAATACTTACATGTGATGTCTCGTCAACCTAATTCAAACGTTATTTAAAATATCACGTCTTCTCAAAAGGCATCCAAAGAAAGTATTTGTCAAACCTACTAAATTAACAACGAGCATTCATACACAAC